TCTGAAGCTTCCTGCCAATGGACATTGCAAAACAAAATACTGTCTCTGTTGGGAATGTCAAGAAATCATTTTTGTCCTTGGGGAAAACTATGAACTAGGGAGGACTGTCCTGCATGGCAGATGCCCCTGAGAAACTTGGTTTTAAAGCAGCAGCACAGGCACTCTCATAGGAATGCATTCTCTGTGCTCCAGAACTGGTAAGGAGATTTATTCTTTTCATTGTATGCTACTGGCTTGTCTACACCTCTTTCCTGTTTCTCCCTGTTTTTTTTCTCTTTTAAAGTATTCTTCATCCAGAGGCAAATTCCATCAGGCTCTGAAGAGGGTAGCTAATTCTCAAGTTTAAGCATTAGATGGAGCAAAGGCTTATGAGGAAGTAACTAACATGGCATTGTCTTTAAATGACTTGGTCTCCTTTTTTTGCAAGGCAGTATGAGACCTGGGGATGTCTGAAATGGCTCATTCTCCATATTGGTCCTGAATATAAAGACAGGTATAGCTCTGCTCTGAAGACAGGTGCCTGTTTTTGCTTGGGGTACCTAACTTTGGGGGGTATATTTTCAAAGCACTTCATCACCTCTTTTAAACCGTAGAGAACTGGGAAAACTGGCACAACTGTCAACATCCTCAGTCCAGAGAGCTGATTGCTTTCACTGTTTAGAATACATTTGTAAGCCTGAATATGATAAAAAGCAATCCTGATCTCATAGCTCAGTAATCTGTGCTTAGTGGAAGGCAGAGATCTCTTATCCATGTTAAATCTTGCAGATCTGTAAGTGATTTTTTATCATATTAATGATGTTAGTTACTGCTGATCTGAGCTACTCTAATCCTATGTGGTACTTGAGCAGAGCTTTAGGCTTGAGAAATATAAAGCAACTTCTCTGACATGGGCAACTTTGCATCCACTGCCTCCTTTCCCACAGGAAGTTCCCTTTTAGCTAACATGAGTTAGAAACCTCCTGGAAGTTATGTGAAGTGCCTGGGGTCCTTCTGTCCTTGCTGATGCTGGCAACACTTGACTCTGTCTGATTTTTTTAATGTCAAGTAGAGGTAGTGGAGTCTTTGCTTTGTAATTATTTGGCCATGGCAGGAATTCTGAATGGAGTACACTACCTGCTGGGCAATACATATAGGACTGGACTGGTGCTCAAGGGTTGGAAGCACCAGCTGAGAAAAAAGGAAATGCTCTATCTAGGTCTTTGGTGAAGGGGCCGAGTGCTATTATTAAGGCTCAGAAACTGCTATTCCTTGTATCCTCGCTGTTCCCATCTTCTTAAGAAACAGCAGGTTTTTGAGTCCAGTAAGACACTACCTTAATCAGTGAGCTGTTGTTTGTGAAGGGCACTGAGTACCAGGGTACTGAAGCCTGGGCTCCTCCACAGATAACACTGGACACCACTGGTTTCTGAAAGCAAAGTGAGCCCGCTGTCCCCCTCTAGAATCAGCTGAACTCTAACCAGGGGTGGAAAGCTTATTCCTGTCAAATGCTACAAGGCAGGAAAGGCTGAAAAGTCCAAAGAGTCTCCACAGACCTGACATGCACTTAGTCAACAGCACAGTCCAGATGGGTTATTAACCCAGACGTACATGCTGCAAGGCTGCCAGGAGCCTTCCTTAAATCCACACAGCAGAGTTCTGCTTGGGAGCTGGTGTTTATCATCTGTTGTAATGTTCAAAATATATAGTGTGTACATCTAAAGACTAATGATGGATATGCACTGGCCAGTGCACACTCCAGTTTCATAAATTATTGCAAAGAAACTCGATTATATGCTTTTTCAGAACTATTGTCCATTTTGTTTTAATGCCTGAGTTCTGAGTTAACAAACGTGGTCAGAGGCTCCCTCTGAAATAGGGCTGGACCTTTGCAAAGTCAATGTTTTATTTACTAAGAATATGGCACCTGAGAAGATGTTTTAAGATGATAGCAATGCTTTTCATTAGCTGAAGGTGGCATTTCAATCCTGACCATGGCATGTTTAGTCATTAGTTTCAGTGCAATTGGAGGGTGAAAGTAAGTGAGATCTGGTCAGGCCAAAGAAAGGGAGAAAAGGCAGAGGTTGCATAGGCTTTCATCTTTTGAGGTGGAATAAAAAAACCCCAAACACCAAATCAACAACTGGGACTATTTCATGCCTTATTAAAAACCAAGCCAACATAACAGAAAGGCTGTAAGGTTTTTTTGCTGTTACTGACATTTGTTAAGACATGTCTCCTAGATATGGCTTAATGACTAGTAAGGTTAACATATTACTTTTCCTTGCTAAATGCACTTAAAATTTAGACAGGACTTTGGAAAAATAGTATTTTCAGTCCACCCGATCTTCCTCACAAGACTTTTGCTTGTTACTGTAAACCTTCATAGTCTATTGAATTGACGTATTATTTAATATGTTCTTTGTATGTATCAGACTTAGGGGGCTGCTTTACCCAGTACTTGAATCTGACTCTGTTATCCTCCCTCTGCCCCTTTACAGTGATTTCTCCTCAGCCTGCAAGGGCACTACCTCAGCTTTTGCTTGCACCCAGAATTACACCTTTCTCATTCCCTGGGCTTGGTAGAAGGCAGCTCTAAGAAACGGCACATGTTGCTTAAGGAAACCTATATAAGTGGATATTGCAATGGGTGATGAGAGGAAATCACTGCAGCCTGGGGCTGGGAAGAGAAGGGACACCCTAGTACCCTCTGCTATTGCTTGGATGAGAAATAACTGATAACAGCAGTAGCATAATGAAGACCTCTTATTTTACAGATCTTTCCTACGTCCATGTGTGGGTCCAGGACAGGAGAGCAGCCCAGATAACCAAGGAGCCAGGGAGGAAGCCTTCCGCGTGAGGTGCTGCCAAACCCTCAACAAGTTGAAGGAGGGTAGATTTGGGGTGAGGAAGAGGAGGGCTCTTACCCTGTTGTCTTTGTTTCCGTTTCTAATGACGATGTCACACTATTTCCACGGCTGGTCCTGCTGCACAGCTGGGTTGCAAAGGGTTAAGATAGAAAGTAGCATGTGCACTTTTAAAACTACATGCAACAGTCCACTGCTTGAAGTCCGGGTCCTGTCTTCCCCCGCCCCTCCCCAGCTTCCAGCAATCATTTATTATAAAGGGGTTTTATGATACAAATTTGATAATCTCCCATACACATTGGCACTGTTCTAACTGGAGTTGTAAGCCCATAAAATTCAAGCCCTTTGTTTTCATGAAGGCCACAAGGTTTTAAAAGATACTATTGTACCGCCTAAAACCCATAAAATTGTCACTAGGGACTGATTAAACAGTCCTGAATTGAAACAGTGCGGATTTTGTCTAGGTCCTTTTCATGCAGAACAATGCTCTTTTCAACCCCGAAGACAAAAGGAGGTTTAAGGAGCGATTCTCCGGGAGATTCTTCTAAGATAACCCCATCCATATGGGAGACAAGGTGGCCAGCAGCTGAGACCCAAAAAAAAAGGAGGGGAAAAAAAAAGGTTTCGGATGGTCGCAGGAAAAATAAAGGGAAGGGGGAGAAAGACAGCAACAACCAAAAGAAAAAAAAAAAAAACCCAAAACAAAACCAAACAAACAAAAAAACCCACAACCAAACAACCCAAACAGAAACAGGTGACAGATTTCCTCGGGTCCTTCCCGCCCATCCCAGAAGCCTGGTCCGCTCTCCATCTCCTCCTTGGCACATGCCCCTGCCCAAGCAGGGAAGGGGATGCAGGTGGGAGGGAGGACCGGCGTCTCTTCATCCTCCCCAACCTGCTCTGCCTTGCATCTGGGTCTGATCCTCCCGCAGGGAGGTCGGCGGCGAAACAAAGCCGCCCCTAGGGAGGGTACGCAGCGCTGGGGAAGGCAGCTCGGGCAAAGGAGAGGGGCTATGCTGCCACCCCGCATCCCTGGTCCCCGAGGGCTACCCGGCAAGTGTAGTCAGCAGGACACATCTCAGAGGCACATCTGGTCTGAAGTTATCCCCTTCCAGGGAATAAAGAAAAGACAACAAACAAACCAAACCGCTTCTCCGGGTCCTTTTCCCTCGACAGCCTTTCCTCGGCGGGAGGTTGCCTGCATCAGTCCCAGTGGGGTCTTCTCTCCCAGATATTCCCTCCTCGTTCCTGATCCGAGCTTCCATCTGTGGGATGGAGGCAGTAGGTCTGGTCTGTATTTCAGACACCTGTTTTGGTTTGGTTTCTGAGGGCTTGCCCCGACTGGCCGCTGCCAGGACAGTTATATTATTTTTTTTCCCAGCAAAATTAATAAAATCAATTGTTCATCAAAGCGTTTCAAAACGTAATTCTCTGAGTATTAAAAGACGTTACTATTTTCTCTTGGCTACTCTTCCTTCCTCGGTAGATCTTTGGAAGAGGTCCAGACTAACGGGAAGATTGGCTTAATTCTGGATCCTGTTTTACGGGCTCTAAAAAAGACCGCAGCGAACTGCGGCCCGCCGGGCTCTCGGGCACCGCCTCCCAAAAGGAGAAGTCCTGGCTCCTCCAGGGACGGGGGGCTCCGCGTTCATTCTCTCTCTGTAGGAAATATTACCCGGCTTACAAAGAGATGCTTGTAGCAAACTTTATTCGCGGTTTACCGGCGCACGTGAGTAAAATAAACGAAATTGAAAATCCGCCGGCACGATCGAGACAAGTATCTCAGCCTTCATGGCACGGGAGGTTATCCTATGAAAGACCCCGACCGTCAAAACTACACTTCTCCGTCGGGGAAAGAAAAATAAAATATTATTTTCCAGAAAATCATTTTATTAGTCACTGGAAGAAGCAACTATTTTAAAACAAACTACGTCGCTGGGATTGTTACTGTTACGTCTTTAACAAGGAACCTCAGGTAAGGGAGCAGGAAGAGAAGAGGTTTTACAAAATCAGAGCCGCACCCGGCGTCCGCGCCTTCAGTGGGACCGACGTTTGGGGAAGCTGCCCAGGCGAGCCTCGCCCCGGCCTGCAGCACCGCCGCCCCGGAGCCGCACTCTGCCGCTCGGCCCCCCAGAGCCCGGCAGCCACGTTGCCCCGGTGGCTTCCTCGCGCTAGGAGCCCGGGGCTGGGGCGGGCCTCCCCGCGCCCGTGGGATGAGTCCGGCCCCGGAGGGCGAGGCGCCGCTGTCACCATCCCCAGGAGACGACGGCTGGGTGCGCTAAGTGCTGGTAAGCGGGGAAGACTCCGAGGGCTGCGGCTGGCGGGCAGGCTCGGTAGCCCGGCAGGGCGAGGGCGGCCTGAGCGCTGCAGCCTGGCAGGGCGCAACCCGGCTTGGGACGGGCTGCGGGCGGCGGGGGGCTGGCTGGGCAGCCGCGGCAGGGCTCCCCGTCCCGCACCAGCACCGGCACCACCACCCGGCGCAGCAGGGTGGGCGGGCGCTGCTGGGGGCTTCCGGGGCCCTCGCTCCGCGCCCTCTTCGTCTTGTAGCGGTGGTTTTGGAACCAGATCTTCACCTGGGTCGGAGTGAGGCTGAGCAGCCGAGCCAGCTGCTCCCGCTCCGGGGCCGAGAGATACCGTTGCTGCCGGAACCGCCGCTCCAGCTCTAGGGTCTGTGCCTTGGAGAAGAGCACCCGCCGCTTCTTTTTCTTCTCTTCGGCCTCCGAGCCTCGGGCGGGGAGCGACCTTTGGGTGGAGTCGGGCAAGCTCAGCTCCGGGCCGCTCTCGTCGGAAGCTGAGGACAGTGAGGGGGTTAGAGAGAGGGGATGGCAGGGGCCGGGCCTTGGGGCAGCCACCCGGGAGGTGGCGGCCGTCGAGAGCCGAAGCACCTCCTGCAGGGAGAGCTCTGGCTGTTTAACGGGCCGGATTAATCCCGACAGTCAACAAGAGATGTGAGCTAACGCCCCCGAATACATTCAACCTGGCTTACAGGACGGAGCGGGCTTCTCACCACGCCGGGGAGAGGCTCTGCCTGCCGCAGATCCCCTCACGGGCACGGACGCCAGGGGCTTGCGGGCCGGTAGTGTCCGTGCTACCTCGGTGTTAAAGCGTAATACCGGGCTGCCCCTTCCTTTCACTACCGCTTTTCTTCAGCAGCTCGATTACCTTAATATTCAACTTATCCTAGCAGGGCTCCCGCATCCATCCAAAGGACTGCCTCCCCCCATGCACACACATTAAATGCCCTATATCTGCGGCACCATTTACGTGTGTAAGGCAAGACCAATGCCCTACGGAGCCGGGGCTGTGGGCCGGAGCCTGCCCTCCACCATGGCAGATGTGTAGATCTAGGCACAGTGAGGCGAGGCTCAGGGTTGTGCTATGATTCCCTTGGTGGTGCTTGGAATGACTGAACCTCGCCGGCACACACACAGGCAGGATTTCTTGCAACAGTGAAACGGGGAAAAAACTAAAAATAATTTAAAAACAAAACAACAAAAACAACAACAAACAACCACAACAACAACAACAAAAAAAAAAAAAACCCACACCAAAACCAAACAAAACCCAACAAAAACAAAACAAATCCGGGAAGGGAGCTTAAAAGATAAGCGCAGAGAGACGGGCGGACACAGGCTGAGGTTTTGCTTTCTGCAATATCTGGGAACATGACAGACGTACCCGTGTGTGTGTGAAAATTAATCTTTTCTCTCTTAAGCTCATGGTCGGGATATTCCTGCTGTTTCATTGTTGCAATTCAGCAATATTCTATAAAATTCCCATCCTGCATCCCCCCGATCCTGTAGGCTACACACACTGGCGATTCCCTTCTTCACATCTTCCCCGAAGCTATAGGGGGAATAAATAAAAGCTGTCCGGCGTTGGCGAATTCCTGTCCATTTCATACTCACAGGGATAGTGATTTCTGTCTCTTTCTATCCACCCTCGGTACGGCGAGCCGGTGTAGTTCGCTGAGTGGTGATGGTCAGAAGCTTGCTTTATGCTATTAGCATCCTGCTCTGGTAAATCCAAAATGCTTCTCACTGTAAAACTGATCCTGCCAGATGTGGCCATGGTAGGTTGTGTACACACACACCAAAAATATCGTCCCAAAACCTCGAATTCCCTCCCTTAAAATCTGCGAGGAAAGGACTGCGCCCAGTTACTGAGGAATCTCCCAGCTCAAGAGGACCTTTCCTTCCATCGCCACCTAACCCCAAATATTAGTGTCGTTTACAGAGGTGTCCTGTTTATATAAACAGTCCTCCCCACTGAAAACACTGCCTGCTTTCAAACCGTCCCTGTCTATAGGATGCTAAGTACCTGAATTAGTCAAGTGCTAAAGCCCTAATGGGAGTAGGTGTAACCCCCCCTTCCCGCTACCCCCATGAGAGAATAACCCGTTACCTCCCAAAGACAGCAGGAAACAGGCTTCATCATTACATATTCTGTCTGATTAGCCAAAAGTGGGGACAGATAATGGTAATTGTTAGCAGTGAATAACATCTTGGGTGGCATGTGGATGACCAACAACCACCCCCCTCCATTCGCCACTAAAGCCACCAGCGTCCCTTCTATCCGCAGACAAAGTGAATCCTCCCAGGACATCCGCAGAGCCTGCCGAGAGCCCCGTCCCTGCTTCTCCCTCTTTATTTGCCCCCCTTTGCCCCTCTCTTTTTAAACCTGGAAGGAATTTAAGTCGTTATTTGCTTTATTTCCCCAGGCCGTTTGTCGTGCTACCTCCAATTCTCCCTCTTGTCATTGGCAGGTTTCCGACCCTCAGTGAGGGATTTTTCACACCTCGGTTGAGTTGTCGGCGGGGAAGGCTGGCGGTTGTGTGCGTGGAGGGGATGGGATCTCGGCGGAGATTTTGCCTCTCTGAGCATGGTTCTGAAAGGTGCACCATTCTCCCACGAAGGGTGATGGCGTGATCTTGGCTGAGGAAACGCAGGGAGCCCAACACTTGCCTGTCCATAGGCAAGAGTCAGGAGGAGGGGTAGGAGATAAATATATTTTAGCATCATTTTGCGTCGTAGCACCAAGGAGTATTGGGGCATATGTGATCATTGGGTGATATGTATGTGTGACCGAAACAATTGAAGCTGGAAGAGAGGGAGAAAAGATAAAACACGGCATATTTATTTATCCGGGCGTCTCCCATTCCTTCCCGGAGAAAGCTGCCCGAGAGCTGCTTCCTCTGCCGAAAGCATTAGCGCACAAGCCCCGAGCCCCTGTCCAGGCGTCTGCAGACAGCGACTGGGCACGGCCAGGGACCCGGCGGCAGCTCCGCTGTAGTCTCCGCAGACAAGCGACTCCTCGCAGCCTGTCACCACTCGGCCCCGTCCCGCCGCGAAGCTTCGATGGCAGCGGAGGACTTATAAAGAAATATGACATGGGAGCACGAAGCTCGATGCGCTGTTTAAACTCAAACCCGCAGCTGGGGGGCTCGGTCCTCAGCGGCAGGGCAGGGGCAGAAGTGACTGATTAAGTCGGGTAGCGCAGCGTGGGTCAAGCGTTGGGGCCGCAGAGGGCGGGAGCGCGACACGCTCCCCACCCTCGCGCCACAGCGCCAGTCCCCGTCGCTTCCCGCCCGTTTCGCTGGAAGGACCTGACGCCCGTCTAGAAAACCAGTGGGTGGCAAGTCCTTCTGGATGGAAAACCTCGGGGGAAGGAGACACCTAACCTCCTCCTAGTTTCCTTTGACGGCACCCCCTCCGAAGCGCACACGACACAGCTCCGCCAGGCAAACGGCGCGAAACCCTGTGATGATTCTCTGAGGGCCCGGAAACAGAAACCCAGGTACACACAGAGATACTCTCCTGGCTTCGTTGGCTCAAATTTCCCTGACCAAACAGACATCTATAAGCTTTAGCCTATAGATCATTTTCATCTGTGACCGCTTCCCGGCCGCCCGGCAGACCCCGCTCCCCGTTGCCCGGGCGGCCGTCGCCCCTCCCCGCCCTGCTCCGGGCGTCGCTTCTGGAAGCGGTTGCATTTCAGGGGAACAATGTCAACAGAGCAATAACGACAAGGGAAAGGCGAGATTTATATCGGCGAGATTTGTGGGCGAGATGAACTGGGCACAAGGCTCCATTTGGCCAACTTCCCGCATATTTCTTCGCGACTGGACAGGCTCCATATAAACGATTCCCAGGCCGTGATTACTGCAGCCACCTATCAAGCGTGCTTGGTGACAGTAGTTATCTTCCCTGCTCCAAGCACAGCCTCCCAGCCGTCCTGGGTGGTCGGAGCGAGGGGAGCACAAATACATGCCAACTGCTAGGCCGTGAACAAAAGGGAAATGTAGCCCTATGTCCCGGACCTGTTGGAAGCATTTGTTCCAGTCAAGATTTTGCATTTGTTCAGATCTGGAATAATAGGTGATTGACGCCTTCCCACAATGTGCTTTAACTCTCCGGGATAAATCGGAGCTTGTTCCTTGTTGTCATGGTTTTCAATAGGGTTCAATGGGATTGAACCACTATCGACTCTGCTTTACGTCTCCGGCAGCCCCGTCCATACAAATTTATTAGTTACGTCTTTTTAAATGAGATTAAATTGAAACGACATGGCCGTCCTCGGCGGAGTGGCTCCTCCCGCGGTCGCCCTGGTCCCGGTGTCGCCGTCTCCCCCTGAGCCCGCCTGCCCGTGTCACGGCCGGGACAGCCCGGGGCCGGAGGGAGGTGGGCGCCAGCCAGGCTCCCCCCCCTTCCCCCCTCGCCAGGTACGGCCGCTCTCCCCTGCCCGCCCCGCCGGAGCGCCGTTGCCGCCAGCGCTCCCGGGCGCCCCGAGTATAAAAGGAGGCCGAGAAGTGCTTATTAATATCTCGACCCCGCGGGCAAATATTTGCCGAATGCCTGGACCAGAGCGGAGTTTCGGGGGGGGGGGGGGGGGGGGCGGGGGGGGGCGGGGCCGGGGTTCAGAGAGCCACAAACTTATACAGTACCAGAGGTGGTTCTTACGAGGAGTTTGCCAAGGACACTCGAAAGAAAGTGGAAAACTTTCCAAGGAAAAAAAAGTCAGGATGAGAGAGAGTCTACTTCAGTGACCTCTCTTAGCCTTTTAATCTATTTAACATCCTAAGCCCACACTGATGTGTAGAAATAAGTAAATGGTACCCCTCAACCTTTAAGAGCTCTTCAGCAACAAATATTTGCACTTACTCTTAGAGTTTTTCTCAAATAGCGCAAGACACATTCTCCTGGGACGAGCCGAGCTGTCTAAATATACCTACGCATTGTTATCTGCGGGAAATAGTTCGCTTCAAAGGCAGAACGTCGTAACCCGAAAT